GCCGTTTCTTCTGTTCTTTCTTGATCATCTTTTGATAAACTTCTCTTTCCTTCTTGCTCCATGACAAGAGATTGGCAATAGATTTGTTTATAGATATCACAAAGATCCGATGTCATCTCTGTCCGCATTAAACTTTGTGCCTTGTGCTGGCAGAGTCTGCCAGTTATAATCTGACAACAGATTGTAGGCAAAAACCGAAGAAAATTCATCATTTTATAAACATTTAAATAAACTACATCATTCAAATGGTCACGAAATAACGGATCTTGAGCGGATGAGCTGTTTCTGCAGTCAATCTGCTATTGTTCTGTTGTCAGTATCTCTTACATTTCTGCTGACATTCTATCGACAATTTGCAGCAGACACTTTCAAAATCTGTTCTCGACAGATTTGGCTGTCCGGGTTATTGTAAATACTTAATGTTAAAAAAAAATAAAAAAATACAGCTAAAAAAAAAAAGCAGTCAACGTTACCGGTTCAGTTAAGTAAGCAGAATTCATGCTGTAAGCATAATTTCTTAAACCTAAACCCTAAATTATTACCTGACTCTGTACTAAACTATATGTGGAACACATATGGCAGATATACTATGTGAAAAACGTGAAAAATATACTGTATTTAAATGGAACAAAAAAACTGCTTCTTCACTCGATTTTTACTGTAATATGCATAGTGAACTAGCAAATACAGAGTGGTGATGTTCAAACGGAATCAAAGCAGTATAGTATTGCGATTGAAAACGATCGAGATTAAATATACAATTGTGATCGATGCACAAATGGTCGATACCGACATAGAATTGTGACATAGAATATCTATGTCCAATTGTGACCGATACATAATCGATTCAACCACGGTTGTCCTCAATTGCAATGCTATGTTTGATTTCGTTTGAATTTTATCACCGCTTTGTATTCGTTTCACACAATGCATATTACATTAAAAACCGTATGAAGAAACAATTTCCTAATTATAATAGTTACTTTTGGTTAGCCCAAGTACAGGGCTAAGCCTAGAGATCCTAGATACAAAGCACACAATGTGTTGTTTTATAAACTAATCAGTCTTATGTACAGGTAAGGTAAAGGTAAAGGCACTTTTCTGACCAGTATCAGACTGCCAGATCCTTAGGAACAATATTTACAACCCGTTGATATTATTTGTTCCTCCGTGGAAGACAAACCAGGGTGTTTTTGGCGAAGGCTCCTCCTGCCTTGCGGTTTACACATCGACATCCTCAACGAAAACGCGTCGCTCGCAGTTCCAGCGCAATGTGTTGAATAAAAATTCGTTGCGACACGCTTGACGCTTAAATAAAATTAATCAGGTGTGTGCGAAGTGATATATAATAAGGTTACGAGAAGCCCAAACGCCGGAGTTAAATTGAAAAAATTTAAACAAACACGAGAAGGAACAAAATAATTTATTCGAATTTCTTTTTCTCTTTTTAACTTTCTTACAATAATCTGTAAAGGTAGAATTTCGCGTGTCTTATTTTATAAAAGCTATCTGAGAAGATTGCAAATTGCCAATGTGCTTTGTTCGTGGTTGAGATAACACTGATCTTTCTTAACCAGTGATTTGACTAATCCGATGCGTTATTTGCTTGAGCTAATTCAAGTTCATTTAAGATCATTATTCACGTTTGTTCCCGACAATACCCAGAGACATTTCTTCAACAGTGCAATAAATCTGTTGGGTTCAGCGCAATCGTCAGGAGCTTGCGATATGCCGAAAGAGACAAAAATTGTGATTGTTGGAGCTGGGGCATCTGGCATTGCGGCTGCCTCCAGGCTGTTGAAAAGAAGAGTGAGCGATTTTGTGATACTAGAGGCCAACGACAGAATCGGTGGCAGAATAAATACCAAGGACTTTGGTAAATAATAATCTTCCTAATTGATTTTGAATCAGTTTAGCTCTGCATGTTGTCTTTGATATCAAGATAGTTTCAATTTTGAAATTCTTTAACTTTTGATATATAAGAAAATTTGGAGTCTGAGAACTTTAATATTTCCAGGTGCGAATGTGGTGGATCTCGGCGCTCATTATGTCTGTGGAGAATTTGGAAACGTGGTGTTTGATCTTGCCTCCAAACATGATTTGCTGAGTTCAGAATCAGTTTTGCTCAATTTCACTAATTGTAAGCCATATGAATTTGCAACTGTTAATGGTGAAATAATGCCCGCGGAGGAAAGTTGCGCAGCTGTGATGATATATTTTCATAATCTGGATAAAATAAAACGGAAGTTAAAAAAGGATTACAAAGAGGTAACAGGATCTTATGGAGACTACTTAATAAAAAAGTAAGTACTTGTGTTTTTGCCCAGGAAAGATATGTATTTAAATAACTGTAATACGAATCATCTGGGAAATAAGTTAAAGCATAAGCAACATGTTCGTTTATTTTATTAACATAAGAGGAATAGGATGCAAAAAGATCTTGCAGAAATTTGAATTTATAATAGCCGTTCATGAAATT